TACATTATTATTTGTTGTAACTTTCAATCCTCACTGAGATAGTGGCATAAGCAATTTTGCTTTGAAACTGACATGTTTAGCGGTTTCATTTTTTTTTTTCCCATTGGTTTACAGTTTAACATTACAAAGGGAATGCATGTGCCCTTACAGTTTTTTTTGTGTTTAAAATAAAAAACAATCAACGTTGTCCATGCATTACTGGTGTTTGCTTTGTATGTTTTGAAGGGTTTCATTTTATCCAGGAATTTATCCTATCTTGTATCTAAACCTACAACAAATATAACTGCTTACTTTTTTTTTTAACCTTTTTTTTAATTTTAATTACTTTATATACATACACCATCCATTGCGCTGAGACCCTTAGCTTCACAGGGCTTGCTGTTATGTTGGCTTTTTGGTATGCTGTATATTGGAGCAGCAATTTCTTTCCTACCTAAGCCAGGAAACCCATTTATCATAAAAGGAAAGTGTAACTAGTGTTGAATGTTCTAAAGGGCTTAAAGCCTTTCAATATTAGCGTCTCTGTTCGCACTTTTACAATCATGCATAAGCTGTTTTACTGCAAAATATACGTTTTTGTATTTAAGTTGCTGTTTTATACTGTAGCTTATATTTTCCGTATGAAAAAACAAATCGATGTGAGCATAATATGATACTAAGCCCTATGAGTTTAGGTGAACTTTACAAGTAAGCTTTGGGATAAGAACTAGTGTGATGCTTTAGCAAACTAAATGTCATCAACTTGGGGTTTACACATACTTAATCTGTGTTTTATAGCTTTAGGGTGCTCTGCTCCCATATTGACTTTTTTTTTTTCTTCCTTTTTTTTTTAATCAATGAAGCCCAGCCAACAACCTGAATATTGATTTATGGTGCAATGAAGTAACTTCAGTGGAAGGCAGGCCTGGGAGAAATTATGTCTAAACTGACATTTAACCCCTTCGTGACTGACGACGTACACTGTACGTCGCCAGCATCGGGGCTGTTTAAACAGACTCCCGGTGACTTTTGCCGCCGGGACTCTGTTTAAACTTGTAGAGCCGACTGTCGGCTTTACAACAGAAGCGATCCTGGCGACTTACCTGTCGTGTTTTGGTTCTGGTGTTTTGAGAGCCAGCGGGGCCGGCGAGCAAGATACTGAAGCTTGGCCCAGTGGGAGATTGCTCCACCCACACAGTTTAGCGTACATGGAGGAATCTGTTGCACATTTTCCATATGACCATAGAGAATCTTCAGATAATCTATAGGTGTATGGCCAGCTTTATACCCAGTGCCACCAGCACATTCTCCAGCTCGGTGCCTGCCGAAACATTCGCCCCCAACTCTCAAAACTTGAACGAATGGCAACCTTCACTCTCACCATCAAGATTGCATTCCCACTTACCCTCCCCATGGTGTCTGACCTCACCTCTCTACTCTTACTACTACATATGCACCATACAACCTCACTTGTAACCACAATGCTTACATTACCCCTGCTCTTAGCACTCTTTTACCATTGCAGCTGTATGCCCCCCCTCCCCTTGCTCTCACCAGCACACCTGCATGGTTACTTTCTCACCACCAAGTTTGCACCCCCTGCCACCCTAAACCCAAAGTTTGACCATGCCATCATACCCACTCCCCCTGCTCCTATCTACCACTCCTTACTCTTATCCTTCCCCTATGCGCATCAACATGTACACATCCCCCTTCACCCTCCTCTCACCTCCATGCATGCACACCATTCCCCTTGCTCTCAACACCATAACATGGTGCCTGACTGCAATCCTCACCACCCAGCCTTCATGCCCCCCCTACTTACCTGACCCCCATCCTCTGCCTCCATCAGCTCCACACCTATTTGTGCCGCCTCTGTTACCACCACACCTGACCCCCATCACCCCTCGATCTTACTACTGCACCTGCAACAATCCAAAACTCTTTGCTCTCACCACCACACCTGTCATCCACCCCATACCGCCACCCCCCAGGTCTCTCAGTGCACCTGCCACCATTTCAAATTCCCCTATTTTTCCATTCTAGGATGAACATACTC